AGCACTGCAAAAGCTGCATAGACAATGTGTAAACGAATGTAGCTTTGTTTTCATAAAAGTTTATGCTAAAAGACAATGAAATTTGAATTTCATATATTTTTTCATGTGTCACAAAATACTATTCTTTGGATTTTTTTTCTCAACCATTTAAAAACGTAAAACTTATTCTTAGTTCATAGACTGTAAAAAAACAGGTGGTAGGCTGGGTGATAGTTGGCCAACCCCTGAAAAGATTTTTCAAATGCTGTTGTTAAGAATGTTTTCTGTTCAAACTGCCAAACATTTCTTCATAAATATTACTTTGTTGAGTATACATTAATTATTAAAATTATAATACTGAAACGTAAGAAACAATTTATCTTCATCTCATTTTCATTAAAAAGCATGCATTATTTTTACCATGAGAAAATAAAATCATTTAAAATTAATTTTAAGGGGCTGGCTGGTCAGCTCAGTTGGTTAGAGGTATGGTGTTGACAACACTAAGGTCAAGAGCTCTAATTCCCTTACTGGTCAGCTGCTAAAAAATAAATAAATAAATAAATAAAAATAAAATAAAATTTAATTTTAAGGCCCAAGGGAAAATAATAAAATCAGTATTCCAGAGATATATGGTTGAATTATGAGCACCCTCTGAAGTCCATTTTAGGGCTGTCACCCAGGTCAACAACCCCTCCCTGATAAGGCTACCCTCCCTTTTCCTTGTGATTCCAACAACCGATATCAGTGGTTGAATTTTAAGGATGTGTTCCTTCATAGTTTGAGCTAAACCCAGGTATCTCTCAGAAAGACGCTTCTCTGCCAAGTAGTCACAATCTTTGTGGGATCTTTACACTCATTAAAGGTGGGGGCTGGGGGGATGTGCAAGAATTAACCTTAAAAGATCAGAAAGGTCAAGCTGGCCACAAGAGTCCAACCTCCAGCCCTGCCCCATGGAGAAAGGTGTGTAGGCACTGCAGCCCGGTACACACAGCAGCCCAACAGGGCCAACAGATCAGCACTTGAGCTTCAGCAGGGCCTCTGTATTCTCGGTTACAATGGAAAACTGAGGTGGCTTACCAGCCTCAATAATTCCCACTCCACTGAGTCAGGTACAAGCAATATTAATACCTTGTACCTTACCAGCATCCTAAACTGTTACAGATCTCCAAGTCTAGACCAGCACTGCCCAACAGAAATACTATGCGAGCCATACTTGTGATTTAAAATTTTCTAGCAGCCGCCTTAAAAATAAAAATAAACAGGCAAAACTAATTTTAATATGTTTTACTAACCTAATATGTCCAACATATTTTCACTTCAACATTCAATTAAAACAAAAAATTACTAATGATCACATTCTATTTTTCGTACAATGTCTTTGAAATCCAGTGTGTATTTTACACTTACAGTACATCTCAATGGCCACATGTGGCTAGGGACTAACAGCCTGGACAGCACAAGAAGAGATCTTCTCTCCCCACTCCACACCCTTCTAACCATCACTTTCCCAATCCAGCTACCCCTGCTCTTCACCCTGGTTCCAACCACAACTCCACCTGGTTCACCACCTTCTTACTTAGCCCAGACCCCATTTTAGGTCATTTTAATATCCCAAGTAGGACCCCAGCATCCTCATCTGCAACTTATTCCTGAACTCACCAGAATTTAACTTCACCCCCACTATTAAAAAATTCTCTCAGCCACTGCACATTGAAATGCAAATTACTAGGTACAGAGTTTCTTGGCTTCCTTGGGAGAGAAGCCTGTAACTAGAAAGAGGCACCAGCCCCAGAGTCAGGAAGGCTGGGCTCTCACCGAGGCTCTGACACACACCAGCCAGGTGACCAACACTGGACAAATTACTCAGTTTTTCTGACCTCCTAAGAGGCAAGAAAGAAAATAGACAGGAGGAAAGAAAAAAGAAAACAAAAACAAAACTGTGGAACACTGACTGCACAGGGTTACAAAAAGATTAAATGATAAATTATATTACAGCATCCATCACCAGATTGACAACACAGAGTAGCATTCAATAAATCTTAGTTCTTTCCTTCCTGTAATACTAACCACTTGACGAGCAACACCCACTGAATCTCTCCTGTTATAGGTTCTACTGTACTCCAAAAACTGTTAGTTCTTTCACTGTCACTCTGTCCATTCCTGTGAAGTTTCTCAGCTGGCTCCTCCTCCTCCCTCTAAATGAATGAGCTCCGGCTCTCTCCTTGTCTCCCTCTGCGCTTTCCCCATGGGTAATCTCATTCACTCCCACTACTCTGCAATAATCCCTATTTCCATGTCTCAAAACTTTCTAACAGCAGACATACTTATCTCAAGACCACATTTTCTAGTGTACACGAGGCATGGCTCCCAAGTGCAGGTCTGTAGGTCAACGCAGGGCTTGCATGAGAATCACTGAGGAAGCATGTTAAAAATACACATTTCTGGGCCGGCCCGGTGGCGCACTGGATAGTGCGCCGCTTGGAAAGTGCGGCGGCGCTCCCGCCCGAGGGTTCGGATCCCACATACAGACCGGTTCCCGCTCACTGGCTGAGCGAGGTGCGGGAGCAACACCGAGGGTTGCGATCCCGTTGCCGGTCCCGGTCCGGTACGGGGGCGA